CTGAACCGCCAAGTTCTGTTTTCACAATATTCTGATGTGCAGTCAGGATAAAACATGACCGGTTTCCGAGATAAAAGTCACCAGCCAAGCACTGAGAGCCTGTGATGGGGCTTGCCCAAACTCACCTCCAGCCTGTCCCTGCCCCACCCCTGTCGCGGGAATTACATCCTCCGACTCCAAACCTGTTCCCTAACAGATACTTTCTGATACCTACTGTGTGTCTGACACGGTCCTGCCTCCATCGAGGTGTCGTTTAGTGGGGGTGGGAACAGTCACAGAGAAAGCATATACCCAAGCCAGCACAGCTCACGAGTAGTGGTAGCTGTGAATTCAGAAGCACAGGATGCTCTGAAAGATCAAAGCAGGAGGGCTTCTCAGAAGAAGCTATGGGGAGCAGAGTGAGCTGGTGGGAAGTTGGAGGATAAGGGGATGGGAAGGAAGGGTGTTCTCTTGGAGGGAACAACATGAGTGAAAGAGGCGGGAGAGACCAGGCACGTTCCAGGAACAGACAGGGGCCCGGTGGTAGGAATCCAGTGATTGCAGGGGTTCCGAGGGACCGTGGATGAGGCTGTCAGTCCCAGCTCTGGTGGCATAGGCTGTACTTGCCCACCTCGGAACTTTTGCTTATTCGTTATCTCTGCTTGAGATGCCTTTCTTTCTCTATTTCAGTTGCTTAAGATCCAAGTGCTAATCCTTTAGATCTGAGCACCAGGTCATCTTTGTCTGTAAGCTCTCAGGGGGCAGGGACTGTGGCTGGGCTCAGTCTGCATCCAGGGTCAAGAGTGTGGTTGGGGGTTTTCGCTCCTGTCTTGGGTGCCCTTAGTGCTGGCTCTCAGCCCGGGGTTGCAGTGGGGAGGGTTGGTCCAGGCCCAGGAGCCGCAGCACCTGGCCTTCCCAGGTTCTGACTTTGGGCGGAGTCTTGGGTCTGGAGAGCAGGACCCTGGGAGAAGCCCCTCTCACGCCTGCAAACTCTCAGGAGACCCTTGGCAGAAGTGAAAGTGGCATCCGTGCCCTGAGCTGACTCTCGGCATTGAGATACTTTGTGGGGAGTGTAGACAGGGGGGCTGACTTTGGTTTGGGGAGGACCCAAGGGCCAGGGCTGGAGCCCACTCCCTTCTCTCCCTCCCCCACTTATCCAAGGTACTTCCCTCCCAGAGCCCCAAACCTCCTCAACACCCATGTCTATCTAATGGGACTAATTGCCCTACCTTTGGGATTTTGAGGTGTGAGACTTTGGGTCCCTAGCGGAGTCCGAATCTTACCATATCACGTGCTCTCTGGTGACCTGGGGCAGTGGGGCCTCCCTCCTGTCTGCAGTGGAAGGGGGTAGATGGTGCTGGCCACACCGAGGGTAATGCTAACTGGGCTGAGAACCTGCTGCTTTGAGGTGCACTCAGCACATATTAGCGTGCTGCATGCTCACAGCAACCCAACAAGGCAGGAAGTGGTAATCCGGCTTACCTCGGCTCTCTGTTTACCCCCGTGGAGGCCATATCTGATGCTGTCCCTCCATTGTCACTTGGCCCATTAGAGTGTCTGTGGTTCCTCTGGGCATGTCCAGGCTGCTGGCCTGAGGTGCTGAGCCCTGTGCCCGACTCTGCCCTCCCCAGGCTCAGCGCTGGCGCAGTGAGAACTTCGAGAGGCCCGTGGACCTCGAGGGCTCTGGGGACGATGACTCCTTCCCCGATGATGAGCTGGATGACCTCTACTCCGGGTCGGGCTCGGGCTGTAAGTACCCGCTTCCCTTTCCCTGCATGTTGTGTCAGCAGTGCCAGTCTGCCTCCAGTGCTCCATCCGAGGCTGTGATGGCAAGGAAGAGGAACCCTCGCAGGCTCAGTTAAATGGTGGGGTAGGGGAGGGGGAGGTCAGGCAGGGGGAGCTCATGGACCTCAAGCACAGGAAGGGCAGGCCACTCTTCCTGGGGTGGAACCAGGGTCTTGAGGCCTCAGAGCCTAGCATTCCCAGCCCCCCACTGCTTCTGTCTCTGCATCTCTCTCTGCACTGCTTGGGTCCCCTGCAGACCTCCGGCCTCTGACAGGGAACACAGACGCCCCTCAGTAACGCAGTTTTCAGTACTGTTGTGACCACTTGGAGGAACTCAGTAGCCCCTTTTCAGTTGCAGTGGCCGATCCCCAGCAGAGACCATTTGATTGGCTCAGCTTAGGCCAGGTGGCCCCCTTCTGTCCAATCAGCGGTGGCCAAGGGCAGGGTTAGGGCAGTGAAGGAAAATGGCAGGTGCCTCCAGTGGTGCCTGGGACAACCCAGTTCCAGGGCCCCGTCCAGAAAGGCCAATAGAGTAGCGTGAGATCAGGGAGGCACACCGAGTTTGAATCCCAGTTTCGCTACTAAATAGCTGTGCCACCTTTAGTCGTTTTCCCTCTCTCAGTCTATTCTTATCTGTGAATGGTGATAAATATGCCTTCTTCTCAGAGCCTCTGGAACGCTTCAGTTTAAGACATCAGGGTCTGGCACAGAGAAGGAGCTCTAAAAATGGTAGTAAAAAGAGGTGTGTGTTGAGATCGGGCCCCCTGAGGGGGCAGGACGAGCCTAATGGATGGTAGGGGGTCTGTGCGCTTTGGAACTGGCCACCTACAGCTCCTTGCCTCTAGTCTTCCCACTTTAGCCCACTCCTGTAAGCCTCTTGTGAGTTAATCTTCATGAAATCCATCCCAATGGGTCACATCTCTACTGCCAAACCTCCTCTCCACCCCTCCTCTGCCTAGTTCAGGCCCCTGGGACCTGCTGTGGCTTCTCTCTCTCTCTCTCTTTCTCTCCCCTCATTTTCTCCCGAGGCCCTCCCTTCACTTGTCCTGGTTTGGAGTCCGGAGTGCTCAAGCATCCCCTGTGGGAGAGGCTTGTTCTCCCTCTTGCTCTCTGCCTGTGCCTCTGAGGGAGGCTTAGTTTACCCACCATGTGTGTTCATGTAGGTTGTACCCATATCTGACTCTTCCCAGAATGCTACTCCCCTCTTCCCCTCCTCCCTGCAACCTCCAGCAAGATTTGCAGCCAGTGGGTCCTGAGTTGCCACTGCCTGGATTCAACCTGATGGAAGCTCCAGGCTGGGTGGGCTGGAATAGTCAGGGAAGACTTCCTGGAAGAGGTGGTCCCTTAGAATTTTTGGCTAGGCAGAGAAGAGTTGGCGAACATTCACTGGCTATCAGCCAACTGGTAACCGTTGGCCACATTGTGCCTTCCTCCTTTCCCTCATCTTGTCCTGGGAGAATTATGCAAAGTGTGAGGGTTGGGAGCCCCCTATCTTGATGGCCATTGCTTACCTGGGATCCTCATGCCCCTCAAATCACCCAGCTCCCTAGCTGTCTCCTCTCCCCCTCACCCCCCAGACTTCGAGCAGGAGTCGGGCATCGAGACAGCCATGCGGTTCAG